TTTATATTTAAATTTAGAATTATTAGTAAGAATGGATCATAATATCAAGTGTTCAACTTAAGATTTCTTTGTTTGAGTGTGACTTAAGGAAAGATCCGAAATCTCGCGAGATGTTCAAGGTTATACGATCTCGAGGGATAGTTACCAAGGAAACGATTGTGTTTATCGGTCCCGACCTTGGCCACGCTCGCACAACCACCCCTGTCGACCAAAGAAGGAGGTGGATTATCCCTTGTCGGTTATTCTCCCTTCTTTGGTTAGGCTAGACTCTTCCCTCATAAAAAATTGCCTCTTCTCGGTGGAGGGCTGATTTCGTCTTATGATTATTGATCTTGCGATAACGGGATTAAGAATAGATTAATATTCGTGGATAGTGAATATTATGATAAGGAAAAGAAGGTATATTCTGTTTGACACAGGTGGAATAAATGAAGAATTGAATCAACAACTTTTATAGCTTTTGTAAAAAATAGTTCGTTTCATTTTGTATTCCGTCCTTTTTCCTTTCGATTTGCCCTTGAATTCGATAATTCTGCTATTCTTATTTTGTTTTTTTCGAAGATATATAGGATAATTTATTTCAATTTTGAAATGTTGGGATTCTTTCATTATAAGTTATAACGTAATGAATTTCATAAACTGAGTAAAACAGAAAAATCCGTTTCAGCCGCTATACTATGATACGAAAAAGCCTTTCATTGAGAATTTTATGTTGCGTAAAATTGGACAAAAAAAATGTAAAAGTTGATTTACGAGCAGATATAATTGTAAATATGCAAAGGTATTCAAGGGTGTATTTTACATTAATAAAAGTTAATCTATAACTACTTAAGGGAATCCTAAAGTAAGTATTATCGACTAAATGCAATAATTTTTGTACAACACAGTTACTTTTTTCTTTTATAGATTTGAAAAATCTTTTCCATGATTTAATTATACGCATTAATGTGTTTAAGATGGAGTTTATGCCAAAAATAAAAAATGTTTAAATTGAAATCTTTTATACCATTTCTTAGTTTAATATCGTGTCAGAGCTGTCAATATCGTAACAACTTGTGCTTAATATGAAAACTTTGCAGTACGAAATTGTCATCCATAGATTAATTATTTAGTTTACATCAACAAATAACGTAAAATTCTTAGAATGTGACTTAGAATGTGACGTCTAATTAAAACGCTATTGTTGAAAATTTCTAATTGTATGAAAATTTATGTGTACGTGTAATATTGATATGTCGTGCATAAAGATATGTCGATGCATTTGATTAATAAAACAGTGATCTCGTCAGAGTTCAGGTTTCACTTTAGGAATCTCTTAATCCTTTTGCAAAGTTACTTTTCCCACATCTAACGACGAAAATTTGAAAAACAAAATTTTATAATAAAAATAGTCTATCTATAAATGGATAAGTATCTTTTTTACCTGATGATTGAAGAAATGCTAAATAAG